CCCCAAAACCCCAAAACCCCAAAACCCCAAAACCCCAAAACCCCAAAACCCCTCAATAATTTTATATTTTTGAAATGAAATAAAATTATAAATTTATTGTGAAGAGATGATTCCTCTTGCTCATCAGCCTGACCCATACAATTACCCAATGCCACAGAGAAAAGATCTGATGTCACTTTCTGTGATTGATCAGTGGAAGGATGGAGAATACACCCAAGCTAAGAAGTTTAATACAAATCGGGGGTTCAATCAAGCGCTCAAGACCAGTGATATTGAAGGTACTTCAAAAATTCCAATTTTTGAGATTTGAATGCGAAATTTATGTATTATAGGTGCCCAGCCAAAGCAATTCGGCTCGAAAGTGAGTAAAAAAGAAGAATTTACAAACCAGAATTGGGATATAGACAGATCTGGTCCCAGAGCACTCCATATTGGTAAGTCTTTCAACTTGGGTGATAAATTCGTTAACCATTTGGTTAAAAATGTTTGTATGATTAGTTAACTAAGCCTCTTTTATAGGACTAAACAAGCCTGAATATGGATTGAAGAATGAAGATATCGAGCACAGTATGCCTGATTGAATAAAATTCAAGACGATGAGAAGCGGTGATCCTCTGAATCCATCTTATAAATTACCTGAAGTAGAGATGAAGCCTGTAACTCCTCCAAAGTTTATCAGGGATCACATCAATAATGATGACATTGAGGGTTCCAAACCAAAGAAGCCAGTGTATTATCAGACCAGAGATAATATCTTGGTAACCTTTAAAGACTTATTTTTTTTAGAAAGTTGAAGATATTCCAGGAGCAAAGGCTAGAGATAGAACTTTCACTAGAACGACACAATTTGATGCTATTAATTATAGAGATGTGACCCATGCTGATTTCAAATCTAAGAGAGTCACTAACCCACTTGAACCAACCTATGTTGTCAGGAATGAAGATGGAAGCACAACTACAATTGGAAAGATTGAGAATAGCACTTCTCATAAAATTCCTGAGAGAAAAAGAGGGCCATTATCATCAAGCCTTGAGACTTCCGATATTGCTGGAGCTCAGACAGGCACTAAGAATTTGGGTGTCTTTGCTACATTTAAGAGAAAAGATTACAGCAAAACTAATGACATCAGTGATATTGCAGGCTCAACAGTAGGGTCTTTGAGAAAAGGTCCAGCGACTAAAAGAATATCTAACCCGCTCAATCCTGATTATCAAATGCCAGGGGGGTCAGAATTTAAAGAGACTAATGCCTTTGGTAATACAGGTCAACAAGTTGTTGCTGGTCCTCAGCCTATTTCCTCTCAAACAAGATTTGCCCACAGAGTCAAGCCTCCCATCGCCATGCCTCACAATATCAACAGAGAACACTTCAAGCGTGACAGAAACCAGTTCTACGGTGAAGAGGATAAAAACTTTGCCGATGTCGACTTCAACAAATTGTATAAAGCTACCAAGAACCCGAATCCAGGCGCAGCGCCTCAGATGGCTCCCGACCTCAGAGATGACGTCGGTTTCAGAAGAAACGAAAAGAAGTTCTACAGTCAAGACCAAACGGACAAAAGCGAGTTTGAGTATAACCAAGCCAAGTTCTACTCAGGTGGAGCCCAGAACCCTGCAGAGCTTGACCGAGCCAGGCTTGAGAACTTGGGCGGCCACGCTAAAGTGCAGAAGCCAGAAGTGAACACTAAAGCACAGCACTTTAAGAGAGATCAGGCACATTTCTACGGGAAGAGTTATGCACCATCTGGAGGGAGCAGTGATGTGGGAAGTATTTACCAAAATAATGCAGCTGAATTCCATGGACTTGACAAACCTACCCATGGTGAGAGGCCATTCCAAAACCCTAAGCAGTTTACATCACAACCATCTATTCCTCAACAAAATGCTGGCTCTGTGCTTAACGAAAGGAGATTGAAAGAGCATGAATCGAATATGCAAAGAGATCCTAAATTTGGGAAGAATCTGAGGAAATTCTGGGGAATGAAGAGCAACCCCACAAATTCAGCATTCTCAAGTAGCAACAAGTCTTATGCTCAGAAATTGGATGGCTTCATCGGCTAGTTTGAAATTAATTGTTTCAATTGCAAGAAGAATAAAAGGGGTTTTGGGGTTTTGGGGTTTTGGGGTTTTGGGG